CTAGGCTCTAAGCCCTAGTCCTAGGCTCTAAGCCCTAGTCCTAGGCTCTAAGCCCTAGCTAAGGCTCTTAGTATACGCAACACACCCCCTAGGTGAGCTGCGCAGCAGCTTACCTGCGTAGAGCGTTACCTTAGCTTATTAAAGCAGCGCTAGGCCTTCACCCTATGTTTATACTTATTATCCTTAGTAATTCTAGTGCTTATTGCTCTAGGCAGCGCAAGGCTTATTTCCCTAAGCAGCGCAGGTTACGTGTGTGCTATATTTACTATAATAGAGGTAAATAAATTCTCTTACTTTTTAAGCTTCTATTTCTTAGATCTAACTAACATGCAATGTGTAAGTTCATGCTTTTAAAAGCTTTAAAAATAACTTTAAACTTATTTATAATTTTTACTAATATGTGTATAAAGCTTAATAAAGCTAAACAAGCTGCCTACGCGTGTGCCCTGCAAGGCTGCGCTGCCTGCAAGCCTGCTGCCTACTGCCGCCCTGCGCCCACCACCCCCCGCCGGCGCCCGCTCCCCGGCCCGGCCTCCACTCCCCGCTAGCGTCCCCCTAGAGCGCTCCGCGTGCAGTCCTGCCTAGGCTGCATTAAGAGTGCGCTTACAGGGCGCTCTAGTAGAGAGTGCTATAATTCTGCCACTAGCAGTTTACACTGCTAGCGCTGTTCCTCTAGGCACAGCTGCCTGCCCCTATAAGCTCTATAGTAGTGTGTAGGGTAATCTAGCTTTTAACTTATTTATAGTCCTCTTATAACTATTGTCTATGCGCAGCGCCTTATTACAGCGCTTATTGTAGAGGACAAGCAGGTAAGCTTCTCTACAGAGATTATGTTATACCTTAGATTAAACTAATAGGCTATAAGCTACATTTTAGCTTTAGCTAGTAGTTTAAGCTCTACTTAAAAAAAATATTATAAAAAAAGTAGTAAAAAAAAAATTAAAAAAAAGTAGTAGTAAAATAAAAAGTAGTAACGTACCTAACAGGTTAGCCGGCCACACGGGTTGGCCGGCCACTTTTGCCAAGCCCCTACTAAACTCTACCTATCTACATAATGCCTTAACAACAACACTAGATTAAATCTTCTAAAGAACGTTAGATATAGCTTGCTCTTTAGGCTCTTAAATAAGACTTAAAACTCTCCTTACAACGCGCTGCAGCTATCTATAATGTCTCTCACACAACACTAAGCAATTAACGCGCTAGACAGCCTTTATAAGCAGAATGCTAGCCTAAATTAAGGAATCTAACTAAGCTTAAAAAGAAGGTAGTTATTAAGTACATACTTAAGCTTATTACGCGCAGATTTCCCTCTAGGCTTGCAGCTGTAGCTAATATAGCTAATTCCTTGCCTGCAGAGCGCAATCTAGGCCAGGTTAGCTTAAACTAGACTAGTATGTAGGTTAAGCACTGCCCTAAGTTTATAATAAAGTTTAATTATAAGTATAATTATAAAAGAGCGCTTTATAAGAATCTAGAGGTTATCTAGGGCTAGTTTTACCTAGTAGCTAATATAAAAGCTAAGTACAGTATCTAGAATAAAGACAGGTATAACTTTAACAAGTTAGGCTTTATAATAGGCTAGATATTAACTAGAGCAGTTGTTACAGCTTTA